GCTCTCCATTAGTATAAATAGAAGGTTTTCAAGTCATTGTAAGGGTTAGCATTTCAATACTCAAGCTCTAGAATAGCATCATTTGCTCTTATTTCTTGTATTAAGGCATAGTTTCCGACTTATCGATCGGGAAATCCCTTGTAATCAGATTGGTTAATTAATACAAGTGAGCTTTCGAGTTTTAGTTAGTTCAGATCTTATATTTTCTCGTACACCTTGATTCTGGGCCATTCCTGATATATCCAAAGTTCGTGTTGGGCTTTCGGATCTACGGGACTTACCCTCAACACAAGATAAGGAATCCATAGAGGTGCGTTTTGCATCAATTGGAGCAGTTTCAGGCCTCCAAATCATCGAAGGAAAATGATACCTCGCAGAATACGTTTTTGCATTCAAAGTAAGTTTGAATCCAAAACTTTTCCTTTCTATCTAAATCATATAAATGATTGAAGAACTATTATACACTATTTCAAGTGTATAAAAATGTTCTTTAAGGTTACTTTATTGTTGAAAAGGTTAGATACTAACCTAGATAAAACCTTGAAAGATTAGGGAACGAATTCGCCGGAAAACACCCGTTCTAGGGACTGTTTTCGTGTCTTCGGTTAGGAGTTGAGATAGCACCTTGAGGAGGCTGTTTAACACTCATTTATAAAGAAGGAATCAATTCTCAAACTCCCTTGGCCGAATCTTGAGCATTGTGTTGAGAAGGAACAATTTAAAGCTCATTTGAGGTGAGGATCGTCATCTAGTTGCTTACAACTTGTAGGTCAAGCATGAGATTACCTAAATGTCTAAATCACGTTTTTCATGGATTATAATGATTGATTATTAATGAAATATTGATATATTAGATAAGGAATGAAATTGGAAATGATTTTGGAATCATATTGATAAAAATGGAGTTAAATGAACTATTATGTGAACTAGGCATTTTTACTCATGTGTGAATTGTGTAGATACATAAATGATTATTTATGTATTACATTGGATGCTTAAGTTTCTGCTACATATCTCTAAATATGTAGGGATTTACAAATGGAATATATGGTTGATAGGAATAATCTTAATAGTATTGAAATACTAGTTAATGATTGTTTGTAATTGTTAAGGAATTGAATCTAAGGATTTGATTGTAAGTGATGTACTTGATTGTGATTCAAGTGACTAAATTGATGTAATATGATGCTAAGGTCATGTTATGGGCAGTCCTTAAGGATGTCCCAAAATAGATTATTGATATCTCAATTCCAAGAATAGGTTTGCTTAGAAATTGAGTCTATGCCATGGCACGGTGATGTACTTGAGTTGAACTCTAGAAGTGCATTGGTAGACATGAGGTTGTGATTGATGACATGCATGGTGATGTACTTGAGTTGGACTCTAGAAATGAGTGGGAGATTTGAGGCTGTAGTCTATAATGTGCATGGTGATGTACTTGAGTTGGACTCTAGAAATGCACGGTGGAGTAATAATTAACTTGTGTCATATGATTTGCATGGTGATGTACTTGAGTTGGACTCTAGAAATGCAAACATATGTGTTAGGGTTGGACCCTATGAATTGTTGTGACTGGTAGTCACGGGATATTGGGTTGATGTTTTTTGTAAACAAACCTTGGGCCTACGGGCCGACTACTTGACTTTATATAAAGTAAGTATATTTTGAAAAGTGGTAACACCCTATTTGAGGGTCTTGTGTTTGAAATACTTGTTGTATATCTATTAAATGACATCCACACCAGTACTTTATAGCTGTATAGAGTACTGAACCCCTTTCGGGGGGCGTCCCACCACCATTTCAGGTTGAGGCTAGAGCTTGCTACCTGTGCTCGTTGCTCGGGCGATCATCTTGGAGTGAAGACTTGGTTCGTGCTTCCTCCATTCTGTTTTGAACATTTATAAAACATGCTCATGGATATGTTTTCATTATAGAGCCTGTGTGCTCATGTTTGCCCCGTGTGGCATTTGTTTTTAAGCTATGTTTTCCGCTACGTATTGAATTGCTTATTATGTATGTTTATGGATGACTTACGTGTGAATGATATTCAAGACGCCTTTTATAATATGGATGTGTTAGACTGCGGTTGACTATTCGTATTGTACGGTGGGTTGTTGACGTGTCGGGATAGGTCCAGGGCGTGACATTATTCTTACTTTATCAATTTAATATCAACCACACAAACCCACTTTTCTTAATAATCGTGTCACCTTCTCTTGTCCCAATCTTAGTGGGACGGAGGTAGTATGTTTTTGTAACATGGTTTTTAAATGACATATTTTTGTGTAGGGTGTATATGTGTTTGCTGGTAATTCATGTGTACACAGTGGCATATATGTTTTTGTAACATGGGTTTTAAGTGACATATGGTTGTGTAGGGTGTGCATGTGTTTTATGCAACATGGTTGTAACATGATATAGATGTTAGTGTACTCAGTACATGTGTTTGCTGCAATCTTTGTGTTCTTGGTGGCATTACACACATGTCACTACACATCTTCTAACCTAAGAGCATAAATTATGTTCCAAACATCAATCAAATACATTTAAAATACACTCATAATAATCAGGTACTACAATAACAACAACATCACACCTCATGTTTGAGTCTAAACCATACCAAACATTACAGAATTTAACCACTACAACTACATTATGAGGCTTTGATATACATAGATACAAATAGAATAACAACTGCAATAATGCAAACCAATGTCCTACATTTACTATATTTGTTCCTCATGTTCTCTGCTTTTAACCCTTGCATCTGTAATGTTTCAAGCTTCATCTCCAATGTATGGATTTTCTCCTCATACCCATTGATTTTTTTTAACAGTCGTGGAATTATTTTTTGAGACCTCTTGCACACCGGAGGGTCAAACCACTCCATCATACCACACCCTTGAAATGTCTGCACAAACAACATTTAAACATATCATGTTAACTACATACTACAATCAAGCATCAGTTCAAAATAAATGGGGAAAACATATACTACAATAAACATATACTACAATTGAACATGAACATCCATAACCTGACTTCCGCTGCATTTCCAAAATCTTCTCCCTCAGTTCTTTGCATTCCATGTTATCAAAAGCTTCAATTGTTGGCCACATTCGCAATAGGTGACTGGAATCCACTCGCCATATTCATATTGACCTGTCGAATTCGAACTTCCAGATTTAAAAGTAGACATGTCGGTTTCTTTATGCGGGCCTGTGGTGAGAGTGAGCAGAAAGGCTACCTACTCCTCAGTTTCAAAGAATTAGGCTTGCGTTTCTTGTTATTTGACTGGCGACGGAGACGGAGTTAGGTAGGACGTTAAATGATATTAGATGACTCAACTACCCTCCACCTTTTAGTGGTTTAATTACTTCTGCCGGAGGTTTGCTGGAAGGATGACGGGTGGTGGCGGGAAAATGGTCACGGACTAAATGTGGACAAATTGAAAGTAAGGGACAAAATGTGAAAGTTGTATAATAGTCATGGGACCAAAAGTGGAATTTTTTCTAACTATTTATGTTTGGTATTATTTTATGTCTATTTATATAATTAGGGTAATAAGGCACAATTATCATTTTTAAAATCGTTATTCTATATGTGAAGAATGTGCAATTAGAAGGATAACAAGGCACAATTAGCATATAAAAGTTTCTTATATGTAAGTATGTAACAAGGCTAGCTGTAGTGTAATTGATGCTTGACATCATAATATAAAATCCCGTAAAAATGCACAAATAAAATGATTTTAAGATGAACATATTCATGAAATTTTATATAATGTGTAAAAAAAAATCAAAAGTGGTGTATACTTATAATCATAAAAAATGTATTACTAGAATCATAAAAGTGCATAACTTGGTTTGATAGAGGAGGTTTTTCCTTAATTAGAGATATTATCCAAATAAAAGTGATGGACAAAATTACAAAAGTGTGATTTAAATTACAACAATTATATCATCATAGTCACTATAATATAAATTAGAACATTATGATGATCATTAAACTTATTATTATAGTTAATAAAGTATAAAAAGTCAAAATTTTGTTCATTATCTTTATTTAATCATAATCATATACGGAGCATTTATCAATATTTCTCAATAGAATGAAGTAGAAAAAAAATAATATATATATATATATATTCATTATCTTAAAAATATGATTGTATTCTCTCAAAAAATGATTGTATTAGTAAAAAGATTTATATTTATACAGAAGAACTGAAAAAGCAATACAATGAATTAGAAAATACACTGTTAGTGTATCTAATTAGGAAGTATATCGGTGCAAGAAAAAAAAATAGATTGCTTACTACAAATCTACAATGGGATGTAGTGAATGAACAAAAAGAAGTGAAGTAAATTCCCAGATTTGCTTAAGTACCTTCTAGCCACTTTTTTATTTTTTCCCTCTCACTAAATTCCATTACCATTTGAACACAACCACGCAAGTCTTAGACGTAGCAAATGCTAAATACCAAGCATTTATTTCGTGCAACTCTTGTGCGTCGTACATTTGTTGCAATTTATGTGCAACTTTTTGAATTCATTTTAGTTGTGCAATTTATTGCGTGCAATTTGTGTGCAACTTTTGTACGTTCTTCTTGAACAATTTTCATAGTAATTACACCTTTTAATTATGACATATTTTTCAGTTCATTTAGGGAAGAAACTGTTCATTCACCTCAAGAACATCAAACATTATCTTCCTCGAGATCATTTTCATGAACAACCAAACTTAAGCCAACAAGTAATGATTGTATAGGTTTCCACGACTCCATGGTGTGTTCATCCTTCACAAGTCACAACCCAAAACAGTTGGTGCGAGTTGCGGAGGATAAACTTTGATTTGTCACTAGGAAATATATTCTTAGGGCATGTCAATTTGGGCATTTGCTGCAAAAGGTTAAGTGAGTTTTTACCCACCCCGAATCTAGTGGTGGACTCTGTTCGGGCCTTGAACCGGCCGGGCCTCGGTTCACTGATGGGAGGCCTGTCATTTTTAAGTTTTAACTGATCACAAATTTATCTCTACAGAGGGTGGCGGGAATCAGCACAAACTCTCTCAAGCAAAATAACAAATACAGTTTCATTTCTATTACAAGAAGAAGAAAAAATATAACATAACAAGAAAAATATCAAATTATAAACGAAAGGGACCCAAAAAGAAATGAATGAACAAATATGTCCCGCCATTCGATCTTTACCATTAAGCTAGAGTTTAAGTTGAATTTTCCTAACTTATTAAATTATAAATTTTCTTTTTCTGCAGGCGCAGAAGCTGGCTCCCCATCATCAGCTTTGCCCTGCTCGGCTCCCTCGACCGGCTCCTCTGCCTTCATGGGGTGAGAAAACTTCACCACAATGCAGGTGATGTTGTCGGCACTGCCTCGGGCAAAAGCAGTCTCCGTCAGCTTCCTAGCAGCCGCTTCAGGCGACTCTGCTGACTCTGCCAGCGAAATGGCATCCTGTGCAATCAGTGCAAATTTCGTTACATCATAGAAGACGGAAGGGCAGTTTGGATATACTTATACTTTGCTATGCCCCTTACCTCATTCGGCACCACATCCCATAGCCCGTCGCTGGCAAGCACAAGCAACTCTAGTCCTTCATCGATTGCTTGATCCTGTAAATTGGGAGGCAAGTAAAGTGATCTTCAACCAAAACATAATTTGGCTGCGTAAGAGCATGTCTTAGTTCCGAATGAATTTGGAGTCAATTGACATGAATTGACATACGAAATCAGAGCTAAAAAATAAGAAAGAATAAAAATATAAGATATGATAAAAAAGGATAAAAAGATAAGATAAAGATAAAAATAACAGAATATAAGGATAAAGAGTAAGATAAAAAAGATAAATGAAACAAATGGATGGACAAAAGTTGCACGGAACAAATTGACGCACAAAAGTTGCACGGAACAAATTGACGCACAAAAGTTGAATAAAAAAGGCTTGTAATATAAACGTCGCACGGAATAAATTTTGCCTTGACGGTTTGAACCATACATAACTTTTAACTTTTGGCAAGGTACAATATGAAACGTTGAATGAAAGTGATAATTTCTTACCTGAATCTCAGGTTCGGCCACAACAAACTGCTTCAACATGCGGTTACCGAAGGCACGGGACATTGCCAACACCCCTCCAACCCTCCAAGTGCCTATGAAATATTTCAATACAAAAAACAGAAAACATAAATGATGCATTATAATATCACTCAGTTATACACAGACATATATTTTGTCAAAAATGTTTTAACTTGTTCTGTTCTACCTTTTCCCCATTTATTAGTTGAACATTTCAGGAAGCTGCACTCCTATGGCCTTCTTCAGAATTGATATAATTAGACACCAATTTTCCATATAAATATATTTCCACACCACTCCTTAAATAAAATCCACCCATACACCCCATACAAAAAACATGTTCGTCAATTATACTAGACCATATTTGATGATAAGTACTTACTAAATAGCTGGTAGCATATTGTCTCACCGATTGAGGGATATGCTAAGCAGTTGGCTATCAATGAACTAACTAAGCAGCTAGTGATCAGGCATCTATTGCATAGTATAATGAACTAATATTTGTTATTTGCTAAGTTTGTTAAACAATTTGTTTATGGAACCACCATTTACCAAGCATGGTCTTAGTCTTTCCAACAAAAGAAGCAAATGTGGATATTAGCATCGTTAAGAGAGAAAGGAAAATGGGAGAGAAATATCAGGTTAAGCATGCATTTGTAGTACAAATATTCTTACCTGCCCACATAATAATACCACCAGCATTTTCAATCCTCTTTCTCTCATCACTTCTGTTTGGTTTATGATCATCAGACAAAGCAATTGCTGCCACAAGTTAAGTTGAAAAGAGACACTTATCATGAGCCTATAGCCAAAATTCTCGACTACCTCAACATTTACCAAGAAAGCAGATTAATAATTAGGGCTTTTTACATGAATATTACTAAATTAAAGACAATTTCCAAAAATGTGACCATTTTTACAAAAGGACAAAAATGTGACTAAGAAGGTCATATATTTGGAATAAACATCATGTCACGGCCACATTTTTATGTCACTGTCAACTTCTGTCAAATTTTTATGTCACTTTAGTATGTCGCTGCCAGTTTGCATGTCACTTTAGGATGTCACTATCGCCGTACACGTGTCACTATGACACCGGAAAATTTTCCGGTGCCGCCGCAACATTCCGGCCGCCGCCATCTGGCCCACTTGGCTTACCGCCGGCAGTTGACAACTCCGAGCTTACCATTCTCAGCCCCCAAACCCCCCTCCCCAGCCCCAGTCCCTCCCTTCCTTCCCCTGGCCCAGATCCCGTCCCAAACCGTCACAATACCCCCAACCAACCCCAGCTGCTTCCATCTGGATCTGGATAAGCCGCCAATGTTGCTCCTTTGCCGCCGGATCTGGATACCCCCAACTTTTGTGGCAAGATTTGCTTATACAAAAGCGATTGGCGGTGAGATGCAGCAGAAAGGCAAGGCTCAGAGAGGCGGACCGACGGAGAGAAGGCGGCATGGTCGTGCGAAAAGAGAATCAGCTGAATCGCCATGGCTGTGCGGAGAGAAGAGGGATGGCCGTGCGAAGGAGAAGGCTCTGTCCTACCCCTGGAGCTGCGAGGGCGCGAAGGAAACACCCAGATGACTGTAAGTCATATTTTTGGAAAGAGTAAAACTGCTCATATTTTTGTCTACTTAAACTATGGGAGTAATTTTTTTGCCATTATTTCTAATACTCCGTAATTAACTACATCCACTGCAGCCTTAGAATTTAGATATGTTGTTTATGACTTTGTTTGATAAGTTAATGCCATATGAGATAAGTATTTATGCTGACCCCTTAGAAATCCCACTTCAGATGCAACAAATTTGATCACCGGAAATGAACTCAAAAAACGGATAAACCAATTATAATGCTTCATTATTTTGTTTCCGATTGTGAACCTTATTAGCATTAACTGTCCCAGATTAGAGGAATCTGGGAAGGAAAGTGCTGAAAGAATTAATGTGTTGGATTTCTAAACAACAAACATAATAAAATCACATATGTGTGCATATGTATGTATATATATGTATCAGAAAAATGTCATGTGATGAGGATATGAAAATACCTTTTCCTTTTACTGAGATAATGGTCCTTGAATCTCCAACATTGGCAACATATAGATGATTCCCAACCAAAACTGCTGTTGATGCAGTAGAACCATCATCACGGAGAGTATCTTTTTCTGAGTCCAAAAACTCCCTATCTGTTTGTTGATATGTTTCACCTGGAATAGACATTATGTTTCTTCATACCCATTTTCTTTGTGGAAACAATACATGCATGCCTGTTTTTAGAGATTACACTATATATAGCATATGTTCACTAAGACAGATGAAAGTCAAGCATATGAAAGTGTCAAAGTATTACGTACTTATAGCTGATTTTGTGTTTGTTACAAACTCAGGATGCTTCAACAGATTCTCGAACAGATTTTTCTTTAAATACTCAGCTGCCCTTGAGCCCCCATGGCCTGCAGTAGCACACAAAAATCATAACTAAAAATCCAAAGGCTCCAAAACTCTCGCTTCTCCAACATTAAAAAGCAGGTCCATTCCTGGGATGGGAACAGTTTAGTGCCAAGCTTGAAAACCCGGAAGCCTCCATCAGCTTCTGAGTCGAAGCCCAGTTACTAAATAAAGCTATTAATAAATGTGGATTTGTTCTGACAATAAATGAAACCAAATATTGTCAGAACTAAAAAGTGTATTTTGTTTTTTAGAAAGATCTAATGATCCATCAACCCCTGCCATGTACAGATCATTAAATATGTGTCCATAACTGCGTTGTGCTGTGATTTTCTGACAGGCATCTCAACAACAAATTGATGCATGCATAAGTCATTGAGCTACACAATTACACATACTATGAAGGCATCAAGGCAGATTAATTTTAGAAACAAGGTAAATGAAGCTATACAGGCTAACTTAAGAAACAAGTAATGATTATAACAAACAGACTAATAATCTAACCGTCAAATATCCCAAATAAACAAATAGTCTGTCCGTCAATCTTTGAACTCTTAATATCATAAAAGTCCTCCATGCTTGCTCTCCTTCCTCTGAAGCTAGAATAACCACAACTCAACCTTCCATCTTCACTGCCAAGCACAAAAGAATACATGAGTGAAAAGAATAAGTGAGTGATGGAATTTAGTACGCATCTGACAAGAATACACCATTAAGCATCAAACAAGTACAAGAAAGAAAACGTGAACAACAGAAACAAGTCTGTTCAAATCAATCACCTCTTCCATCCTCCACTAGCATAACTAGAATCGTCATCCTTCTCAGAATTAACATCCACAACTGGTCCTTGTTTGGCTGTTGAACCAGTATCTACCATCATCTTTCTTCTTGTTCTAAATATGCAATCCCAAATACTATGACTTATTTCTCTAGTTGAAATCAAAATTTGAACAGAATGGTTAATCTTCCTTCCCAATGCACAGCTTACAACATGAGGAGATTGAAGAATCCCAAAATGTCGAGCTCCAACAATCACTGACCCCAATGGACTAGTGCATACCATCTAAATCAACTAGAGAATCTCAAGCGAATGCCATCACTGAAGTATTAGTCTCTGACAACAGAAAAATTATTCCAATTGTCAAGTTACGAAGAAATAATAGGTAAAGCACTTGCAAGTTCACGAAAAGTTTAAAATACAATAAATGAGCCATCCAAATTTCCATTTCATTTTGGCAGTGGTATAAATAACACTACGTACTGATTTTAATTTAATATTTACGATGGTCGTGACACTTTAATTCTATCGCAATTAAAATAAAAACCACGCACTTTGGGCAGACAATGAGATTAAAAAAACTCTTCAGAAAACATCATTTTTTCCCTGCGAGGATAAGCACAAAACAAATGAAGTTGAAGAGAAACAAGGATCGGATCCTGCGATTCCTGGAACCTCGAGTATATCTAACCCGAAAAGCAGATCCGAATCAAAGATTACAAATTCAAAAAATGAAGAAAAAAAACTTCGAATTTCAACACAACAGCAACGGCACACATCGGAAAATCGCAGATCGATCCCGGTAACATGCATATGCACAGCAGAAAGCGGCCGGGATAAAGGACACCAAACAACAGGTCAGATCACAGAATCCGAATCCGCCCCAGCTTTTCACCGGCGATCAGAAAAGGAAGACGGAAAGAAAATCGAGCAAAAACGAAAAGCTGGTTGAACTAACTTGGGGTTTGCAGAGAGGCGAGAAACCCTAGGCATGAAAAAACGGTGGGGCGATGGGCAGATGGATATATGAGGGAAGGAAGGAATGCGGGACTCACAGAAAAGAGACGTCTGGCTGTTGAAGGTGCTTGCTAGTCTGGAGTGACGAAAGAGAGAGCTGCAACGTGGCAGCGCTCAAGCACCTGCAACTCCCGATGATGAAGAGTATAGACTCTGCTCCATCCTATCTATTCCATTCCTACAAACAAACAGCCCACCGCTCCTTGGCCCCACCTGAGGATTTCATCTTTGACCACACTCGTGGATTACATTCTGATTATGCGAATTCCATACCCGTTGTGAAGAAGATTACAAGGGTAGGCATGTCTTTCATGTCATAGTCTTTGTTTGCTCCATTTTTTAAATCACAAATGGTTGGTCAACATCATTTACACACGTCATGTGTCCACATAGACACATGATGCTGTTAGGAAATTGATGTAACGTACCTCGAAAGTACAGCAGTGGAAGTTTAAAATTTTCCAAAACAGATCTTCCCTGATTATGACAAAACAACGAATAAAACAATAATGACAGATCTGAGTCAGAACTTACAGATCTTCCAGCCTAGCGGTGATAATCCTTGACCTTTGGTATCCACGTGATTTCTCCTTTCCGAAAGAACGGTTAGATCTCCCTAAGAGAAAGGCTAGGAAATCTCTTCGCAGGGAAATAAACTGGTAATACTGAATCTGAAAACTGGTCTATGAATTATGAAGGAGAATGGTGTATTTATACTAGTTCTAAACTAGTTTTTCAATCACATTGAAAGTCTTCCTAATTAATGAGTTTTAGTCCTAATAGGACCAATACTCCTTATTAATTAAATAAGTAGATTAAACAAAATAATATAATAATAACAAAGAGAGGTGGCTGCACGCCACTCTCTACTTGTTATAAGTATTATTATTTATTTCATTTTCTTTTCTTTTAATTCCAAATCATAAAAGAAAATACCAACTTTATTTAATAATAAATACACCTTAATTAGGTATAATAAATCTAATTTATCATACTTAATTAATTCTATCGAATAGAACTCTCCTTCAACTTCATGAATTAAATATGTTTAATCTAATTAATATTTAATTCATTCTCAGTATTACTAATTAAATATTATTTAATCTAATTAATAATATTTAATTCCTTCTAACAGTTCAATCGGAAGGTATAATCACTTGTTGTGTGACCCATAGGGCCTTATATATTGAGCACTAATCAAATTAAGGTCTTAGTAGAATCCCTAGACGATTTACCAGACAAACTTAATATATAAGGACGTTTGCGAGGACTTATTCAAACTCCCTGTAATATAGAGCTCATAGTGATACGGTCCTTTCATTCAACGAACATTCAACTAAGTCTAGAACATGATATTGTGTCTATCCCAATAACTCAGTCTCTGTCTCTCAATCTTTCTAGATGATCCATAACGATCATATTCGATATCCAAAACGAATATATCTTTGCATTGGCCAATGACTTTATGATCCATCTAGATATGAGAAGTAGAATGTTCTCTCTTAATCTATTATGAGGAATGAATCCTTTCTTGGCTCAACTACTACTCCATGTGCTTCGTGATGCACCCAACACATGTCGTATCTACCCCGATTGGAGTGGAAGCGTTGGTCATGGTCAAAGTACATCACTCCGCACATGTAGTACGTATTGACCTCAAGTCGGAGGACTATTACACTACTCTATACGCCGATAATCCCATAGACACATGAATAGAACTTATCAAATGGTTTCTCGGTGGGTATGCCAATATTCTCTAAAATATCTATGTGACCATCATGAATTACAGGAACTCATAGTCGTGAGATCAACTATACTTTCTAAAAGTATGATGCAGTCCACATACCAATCTTATCGCATATCATCAATATCCCATTCTTGATGATCATTGATTGGGGCCTTTTTAGGACCTTATGTTTTATCATACAAGCTCTCACTTACTTATTGACAACATAAGTCCAAGGGAACACAATTATGAATAAGACATTGACAATCGAAATGCTTAATCATCAATGTGTAATACCGTATATATCAAATATATAAAACTGAATGTGATCAAGTACATATATCTCTAAAAAGTGATTGTCGCTAGGACATATATACTAACAATCTCCCACTTGGCCTAGTGCCAATCACCGATGCGTCTAACACCTAGACTCTCAAAAGTTTAGTGTGTTTCTCGAATCTTAAAGGTTTGGTGAAAGGGTCAGCCAAATTGTCCTCTACGGGAAGGCATTCTATTGCAACTTCTCATCTTGCTATTTTGTTATAAAAACATGATAGCATACTGGTATTTTTTTTTTAGTTCCTTACTTTGCATCTTAGTTCCTTAGCTTGTGCAAATGCACCGGTACAGTCACAATAACAATTATTGGATAACTGTCGCTAGGAACTACCCTTATTTCTTTAAGGAACTAACGTATCTAAACGCTTACCTATGTTGCATCAAATGCAACAATTTACTAGGCTCTAGTTGTCGAATTTACTAGCATTACTATTACATTGAGACTAAAAACATATACTGACTGTGACTCGTAGTCTTTCTTATCATACATGAAACTAGTGCTAGAATAGTTAAATTCTACTAGTTCTTTCTGTCTACCATAGACAAAAGATATTCATGAAGATTTTGGATGACCATTCTTTCGCGGACTTCAATGAGGGGATATCATTCTCTATGATCAACATATATGATTATAAAGACCATGCTATCCTTGTTGCGCACTCTAAACACGCAAGCACCCTCATTTCATTTGATAAGGTCAAATGATTTGACTTTTTCATCAAAATTAATATTTCAACTCCTAGATGCTTGTTCTAGCCCATAAATAGATTTCTCTAATTAACATATTGAATTAGAATTCGATATGGATATAAAACCTTCAGGTTGTACCATGTACACCTCCTCCTTGAGGTTTCCATTAAGGAAAGTGGTTTTGACATCCATTTGTCAAATCTCATGATCATATTATGCAACTATAACAAGCGAAATCCAAATGGACTTGAGTTTTGCAACTGGCGAATAGATATCATTATAGTCAATTCATTCTCTTTGACTATAACCTTTAGCCACTAGCCTAGCTTTGTATTTTTTCACATTACCTTCAGCATGAATTTTCTTCTTGAAAATCCTTTGCATCCAATGGGTCTAACCCAACAGGCAAGTCAACCAAGTTCCATACTTGATTGATATACATCAAGACCATTTTAGATTTCATGGCATCTCGCCACCTCTTTAAATCAACATCTAATATTGCTTTAGTGTAGGTCTTAGGTTCATCCTTATCAGGAATCCCAACATCATCATGATCCTCCATGAGGAAGTCAAACCTAGTTAGTTCATGACGAATCCTGGTGGACCCACAGAGTTGAATGTTTTGCGTTTTGTTCAGGCTATTCATTCTGATTGTGAAGAGGTTCTCTTTCATTGGACTATCCAATGCTCGAAGATTTTTCTAGTGCTACACTTTTAAGTGGTTCCAGAGAAAGAGAAGTGGGTGCAGAAGGAATGACAACCATGTCATATTTTCTTTAATAAGAATCATTTGCTGGTGCGAGGTGATTCCTATGTTACTCCCACTAGCTGAAAGACATCCTCCTAGAGACATGCTTCCACTCAATTCTCCCACTGAATCCTTGTTTTGACCATCTAACAAGTCTTCATCCTCTATGTTATTTTGTGATTCTTGAACTCCATCAAGTTCTATCCTCCCACGATTACATTCCTTAAAGACCAAGTCTTGTACTAGGAATCTCACTCGTTTGGAAATAATTTTATATCCCCGGGAAGATAAATTAGTATCCTCTAGTTTCCTTAGGATGCCTCACAAAATAATATCTCTCACTTTTAGGTCCCAACTAGTCAATGTCCATTTTCTTCACATATGTAAGGCAACCTCACACTTTAGTATGTGTAAGAATAAGCTTCTTATTACACCATAACACATAGGGTGTCTTTTGCACTAACATAGATGGAACTCTGTTCAGAATGTATATTGAGGTTTCCGATGCGTACCCCCAAAGAGATGTTGGAAGAGACTGGAATTCATCATGGACCTAACCATCCTTTCAGAAACCCAATTTAATTGAGGTGTTCTTGGAGGAGTCCATTGTGACTGAATTTCTTGATCTTTCAAGTAATAAAAAAACTACTTACTCAAGTATTCCCCTCCACGATCAGATCGTAGAGTCTTGATACTCTTGCCAAGTTTTTTTTTCTCTACTTCAACCTTATACTCCATGAATTTCTCAAAAGCTTCTCATTTGTGTTTCATAAGATACACAAATCCAAACCTAGAGAAATCATCAGTAAAATGATGAAGTAAGAAAATCCTCCTCTAGCTTGAGTGGGGAATTGTCCACACACATCTGTGTGAATCAACTCAAGCACTTCTTTGGCCCGCAATCCTTTTCCAAGAAAAGGTTTATTGGTCATTTTAGCTAAAAGACAGGAATCACAATTACCATATGATTCAAAATCAAATGGTGTTAAGTAATCTAATTTACTTAACATTGTTATTCTTGTTTCACTAATATGGCCAAATCGCAATGCCAAAGATAGGTGGTATTTTTCTGATTACTTAACATTGGTCTCTTATTTTGTACATTTAATATGTCATGCCTACAAGTAAGAATATATAAACCATACATAAGAGGAGCATTTCCAAACACAATGCCACTTTGTAAAAAAAACAACAAGTGTTATCAGCAAAATGGAAGGAAACCCCTTAATGTCTAACATATGAATGGGAATTATATTCTTTGTTATAGAAGGAACAAAATAACAATTATTTAGTTCTAAACTATAACCGCTGGGTAAATCTAATTTATAAACGCTTATACGCATAGCAGCAACTATTGCTCCATTTCCTACACGTAGGCCAATTTCACCCAACCTAACTGCTTACTGTCACTTAGACTTTACACATTATTCCAATGTGTGAGCCACACGTTGTATCTAATACCCAACAATGAGAGTTAGTTGTAGACATAATAATATTAATGACAAAAATACCTAAGCTAAAAGCACTGGGTGCTTTGGCTAGATTAGCCCTACATAGCTTAAAACCTCTCTTCCAATGCCCTCTCTTTGCTGTAGAGGCATACATCCTTTAGTACCTTAGATTTCTTTTGAATCCTACCTTTAGGTTTCAAAGCTAGAGGCTTAGGTCTAACCTTACTTCTCTTCTTTTGCTTGTTTTTTCCGTAGGAAAATATTCAGCAGTAGAGCTTACCTTAGCAATGTTATTCTTCTGGATGTTCATGTCAAACACAACTAATTCAGAAGAGTTGACATTTGGAACCTCGGGTACACACGTGTCAAAC